TGTGTGTGTGTGTGTGTGTGTGTGTGTGTGTGTGTGTGTGTGTGTGTAAATGAAAAGTTTGAGACCAGGAGTTTATCTAGCACTTGTGGATGATAGGAAAGCTTAAGAATAGGGTACTTTTCAACTTCATTCAAGACTGCTGGCAACACTTTCCCTATGATAAGGTACCAACTATATAATTTATTTATATATGAGATATATATCAAATATACAGAGAGATAAATATAATTTAAAGAAGACTTCAAATAATAGTCATAACATTGTTTCTTCTATTTTGTTCTGTACCAACTATTCTATGAATGAGAATGACTGCCCGAAAGTCACCCAATGTACAATTACCTCATACAGCAAATCACCATACAACACAAAGCAGGGGTCACAATGGCTCAATGAACCTCATTTCAGTTAAATTAAAATCTATTTATAACAGTACTTAAATTAGTACTAAAGAGATTTTTTAAATGAACATATACGGATTAACACTGTGATAAAGAAATAGCTTTTAAACAGGGATTGAAATGCTTTCAGAGAAGGAGCAATATTCAATTTAGAATACATTTATGCAATAAATGAGCCATAGAGAAGTAAAGATGTGGAATGCACACACTGCTTCTCAAAATATTCTTCCTGTAAATAGGAGTGAAGTTTAGTTTATTCAGCAGATTTTTTTCAGTATTACAAAAGGCATTTGTTATCTCCTCTTGAAACTGTTAAGCAATCCAAATTCTTTATTTTGAAGCTCCAAAGGGAAGAACTACCCAGTTGCCAAAACAGACTTGTCTAGTTAGCTGAGCAGCTACATTGGATTTGAGTTCTCTAACAGCCTAATCATTTTCTTTAGATTCTAGAGAGGAAAGATACTCCAGCCTTTATCAGTCCTCTAATTCAGCGGTTGCCAACTGGTGGGCCATGGCCGGCTGCAGAGAAATCTCACTCCCAGAGCACCCCCCAAAGCAATTAATCCAGGCTGCGCAGAAACACAAGGCTGAGCCGCCCACATGGCCCGTGGGAACCCTCCCCGCCCACTCCTTACCCGGTAAACTTGCCTGCTAAATTGCTATTTTTCCTTTTTCCAACCATCAGCTGTGTCGTGAGACTTAGATTAACTAGGAATTAGATTTAGATTAGCTAGGAAGCAGGAAATGGTTGGGTTTCTTGCTTTCTAGCTAGTCTTTAGATCTTCGGCTCTGCTTTTAAGCACAGCTGAACCTCCCTTAGGACTGAAGGTTCTATTATTCAGTACAGACTCACGGCAAGCAAATATTATGTGACAGACTGAGCTAGCCGATGGCAGATCACTGAATGATTATGTGAGCAACTTACTCTGCCTGCCTGCTTTGCCTGATTTGGGGTAAAAGTTGCTCTTTTTTATAAAATATTCAGTATTTACAAACATGGTGTGTTGTGAGCTAATTTTGTGAGTTTGCTTGCTAGCAAATTTTATGTGACAGACTGAGCTAGCTGATGGCAAATAGATAGATCACTGAATGATTCTGTGAGCAACTAAATCTGCCTACCTGCTTTGCCTGATTTTGGATAAAAGTTGCTCTTTTTTTTTATAAAGAATTCAATATTTATATAAATATTTATAATATCTACAAACAAGCCATGCCCAGCCAGTCACATGACCACCAAGCCACACCCACAAATTAGGCCATGCCCACAGAATCAGTTAGTGGTCCCTGGGATTTAAAATTATGAGTTTGGTGGCCCCTGAAGACCCAAATGTTGGTGACCCCTGCTCTAATATAACAAAGTCTGAAATCAGTTTGTTGAATTCAATTTTACAGCTTTTTAGAGAAATAACAAGGCTGTAAAACAATACTAATCCTGTGCTCCTGTTATTTTCTAGTTCATGTAAATCACCACCTTTGCTGAAATTAGTGGGAATTAGAGAAATGTCTGGGCTTCTGAATTATAAAGCAGAATTGATTTAATTTCTGGTTTATCATTGCTGTATGAATCTCATTACTTTTAGCATGTTTTAGAATCATTCCATTTTATTCTTGCTCCTTCAGATAAAATAATTTCATAAAAAGCAGTCTATTGCATTGCATTTAACTTCATAAAGAGCAGCAAACCAATAATACCAAGCATTCTAAACAGTATAAATAATATACAATAGTAATAGGAAATATAAAACAAATATATGCTTACGTTTCAAAGAAAAAAGTAAAACTCTAAATAAATGTATTTCTCAATAATTCTGATAGCAGTCAAAATAAATTATAATTTCTCACAAACTATATCCAAGAAAACAGCGACAAATGCCATCTATTCTACTTTTATCCATTCATCTATCTATTTAGCAATCTATCTATCAATCCATTCCATCTATACCTGTCTTTAGCATGTATTCATCGTTAGAATAAGAAAGATACCCTTGGGTCAAACCAGCACCT